ATCTTCCCTAAGTCTTCTCTTCTCCAATGAAACACTTCCATTTTTAAATCTTTTTCTCTGGGTCTGTTTTTCTAGACAATCACACCTTCTTAAATGAAGAAACTCTCCCATGGAATATCTTGCCCTATAGTGTTTTTTTGCAGCTTTCTTTAATAGAGTTTTGCAATGTTAACTGCCAATTTGTTTTTGCTGTTTCCTTGTCTGTGGCATGGTGACGATGTGGCATCCGTGAATTTATATTCCTAGGCAAATTGTATAAAGTAACTAAAAATAAATTGCGGTCTATTGGCTGAAACTTCACAGTTTGAGATACTTTGCCTGCTGAAATTCTTCATTGCTTTGTCTGTAATGGTTGCTATGCATGCAGATATGGTTTCCCCATCTCAAAGAAGATATATTGGAATTGAAAAAGTTCAGAAAAAGGTCACAAAAATTATTAGGGGTATGGAATGGCTTCTGTATGAGGAAAGATTAATAAGACTGACTTTTCAATTTGGAAAAGATATGACTAAGGGAGATAAGACTGAGGTCTATAAAATTGTGATTGATGTAGAGAAAGTACATAAAGGAAGTGCTATTTACTCCTTTTCATAATACAGGAACTAGGGATCACCAAATGAAATTAATAGGCAGCAGGTTAAAAAAGAACAAAAGGAGGTATTTCTTCATACATCACACAGTCAATTTGTGGGACTCCTCACCAGCAGAAGTTGTGAAGGTGAAGACTATAACAGGGTTCAGAAAAGAACTAGATACATTCATTAAGAATAGATTTATCAATGTGTACTAGCCAGGATGGGCAAGGATGGTGTCCCTAGCCTCTGTTTGGCAAAAGCTGGGAATGAGTGTCAGGGAATGGATCACTTGATGGTTCCTTGTTCTTTTCACTCCCTCTGGAGCACCTGTCATTGGCCACTATCAGAAGGCCGGATACTGAATAGATGGACTTTTGGTCTGACCCATTAAGGCCGTTCTTATGTTCCTGATGATTCGTCTAGTATCCAGAAGTCTCAGTTGGAGTCCGCAATAATGAGAGAGTGTGAAGAAATCTACTGCTCCTTGAAGATACAGGCAAGAACCTCAGCTGGGACAGCTTAGGGTTGGGCTTTTTGAACAGGAACAGGAAGCTGGGCAAAAGAGGGGAGTAGAAGCCATAAAGGCTTCAGTGGGAAGTGATAGTTCGCTCAGGGTACAGCAGCAAGTCTCAGAGCATGGGTCTTTTTCAGAATCTAGCTCAGAGGGCTTGTGCTAAAACCAGTCCTGTAGAAATTCTGACTTGGGCTGGATTTGGGGGCTCTGAAACACTTGAATGAGGGCAGGCTTTGGAGCCCGAGTGCCAGCCTGAGCCAGAATGTTTGCATAGCTATTTTTAGTGCCATAGCATGAGCCTAAATCTGTAGACCAGGGGTGTGCAAACTCAGGCCTAGGTGCCAGATCTAGCCCGCCAAACATTTCTCCCCGGTCCACCCAGCTGATTAGCAGCGCATGCATACTTACAGCAGGCAGCAATTCAGCTGTTCCCTCCCCATCTTGCTTCGTTCTGCAGCCAAGCTCCTCACAGGATTCTCCTGCTAGCTGTGTGGACAGGATGAGGTGGAGAGGAGAGGAGAGTACTGAAGTCAGAGTGTCCCCCTGCCTGTATACCCCATCTCTGCAGAGCAGAGATCAGGGAGAGGGAGACACACAGTGGCGCTCCTCCAATCTGAAGCATGGATGGTAAGTGGCTCAGGGTATATCTACACTACCACCCTAGTTCGAACTAGGCTAATCCGAACTACCTACTCCGTGGCTCTGTAATCTGAACTACTGGTACACCTCGTGGAACTACCTACTCCGTGCCGTGTGTAGCCGCGGGCACGGAGTCCGAACTACCGGGGCTTTAAAAATGGCGGCGCCCGGCAAGCTGCAAATGAAGCCCGGGATATTTAAATCCCGGGCTTCATTTGCAACTTCGGTTGCCTACATTAACCACCCTAGTTCGAACTAGGGTGGTAGTGTAGACATACCCTCAGAGAGTGCCTGTCTTAAGAGGCAGTGCACTGTTTCTAAGATTTCAGTGCTTGTGCTCTCTTTCACATGCCCCTCTCCCCGTATCCGCCCTCCCCATATACCATCTCTGCAGAGCAGGGGAGAAGGAGTCAGAGCAGGGGAGAAGGAGTCAGAGCACAGATGCAGAAACATACAACAGCAGCCAGCACAATCACCCAGTCGGTGCCACTCTGTCTTTGTGCCATACTCTGTCTCTCTTCCCCTGTGTCTAGACTGCTGCCATGTTCTTTCAAATGTAAATCAAAAGAACATGGCAGTTTTTTTGACCGCAGAAAACCTCATTTTACGAGGAAGAATGCCTTTTTTCGAAAGTGCTTTTTCGAAAAAAGGTGCTATGTAATGCAAACTATGCTTTTTTGAAAGAGAGCATCCACACTGCCTGGGTGCTCTCTTTCAAAAAAGCGGCTTGTTTTTTCGAAAGTACTGGTTGTAGTCTAGACACTCTTTTTCAAAAGAGGTTTGCAGTCTAGATGTAGTCTAGAAGACTAACCTAACTTGAAGCTTTGTTCTATGGCCTTTAATTTAGGAATTGAATCAGGGTCCCACGGTCCTGGAATTACTCTTATCCTATAGCTATGCTATTTTGTTAGTGTGTGGTTTCTCCTTGCCTTGCTGTTAGAGTGAACCTATTGTCATTCCAATTAGGGGAAAGGAAGTTGGGGCAGAGTTGCAGAACCAGCCACTCTAGGCTGCTGGGGCTGTACAGGAACATCTTCTACCTCTACAGGTAGTTTGCACGGTTTTGTTTACAGTGAAACGGTCCATTTCTGTTTTGTGCTAAGGTCTGTTGTTAATGCTGCATATTTTCATTGTGTGCTTTGGTGCTCTTTGTCAGGTCTTAGATTTTCTGGGTCATTTTGAACAGTGTACAGCATCTCTGGCTTTCTTGATACAGGCTTCTAAGCCAGAATGGCTCCAAAGTATTTCTGAGAACATTTCTGTTCTAGGTGATGTTGGCAGTGTGATTCAAAGGCCTTGGTAGATGACACTATCTTGAACACTCATCTCATTTGGATAGTTTCAGTGTTCTTTAGAGGAAGGTGTCTGGCCATCCTGACAGAATGATGGATGTAAGCACTTGTAAATCATGGTCTTGTATAGTTTGTTCTTGGATTCTTTCCCTGCCTTTAAACTGGTACTTAACTGGTTTGGTTTATGGTTTTTATGTCTTTCAGTGTTCTCTGTATTTCTGTCAGGGTGAGGATCTCATAATCTTGTCCAGATGCTATATTTTCATCCCGCAAGTCTGCTCTGGAATAGATGTCAGCTATGTACAGCTTAGTCCCTTTCTTGTACCATAAGTTGGAGCATTGCAGTGTCAATGGCAGGTGCTGAACATTTTGGAGGGACTACTAGGAATGGCTTTTTAAAATGTTCTTCGGTGACTTATGGACACTTTCTACGGTAATGCGTTTCCACCCTTGAAGATTTTTTCATATGCACTAGCATTGTAAGAAAATCCTTTAAAATCTGGACATTTCTTTGTCTGCTGGGGACAGAGTCTTTGATGTGAAAGCTACCAGCTGTCCTTTTGTAGGCAGGATTCCTCAAACCCTGTCTCACATGGCATCACTCAGTATGGTTGCCAGTTCAGTCTCATCATAATATTCCAGGATGGGCTAGCTGGCCACTCGCTCTTTTACAGCGATGATGGCTGCACCCTACTAAGGTAACTATGTTTTTGAGTAGGGACTTGCATTTTGGTAAGGCAGGTGCCTTTGTAACAGGGATAACCTCTTATTCATCATGTGAAAATCCACCCATATTTGGCCAAGTTATACAGCTTTGAAAAATTGCTGTTCATGCATGTTCAGTAAAGTCTCCTTAGAGTCTCCTTAGAGTTTGAGTTGGGGGCTGCTGACCCACAGAAATATCAGTTGGGGACTGTGCTCAGGTCAGTAGCAAAGTGGGAAGCTCCTGACTGACAAGGAGAAAGCCACTATCCACATTCTTCTTGCACACCAAAGTCTAGAGAGGCCCACGGTAGCAGATTTTGTGTGCTCCAGCCCTGTAGGTGGATGGATGGGAAGCTGGAGCACCAGTGCAGGCTCCCCAATGCTGAGCCTCAGGGGCTGGATCCAGGCAAGGCTGGCCTGAGGTTCCCCACCCCCTGCTTTAATCCCTCAAAGCTTCTACGGCTAGCCACATGGCACATGAATCGTTCCCCCCAAAGTAACCAAGCATGCTGTGTCCCCTCACATGATATACCAGGGAGAAGGGTAACAGACTTGTTCCTTAGTGATAGAGATGCAGCCGTGTTAGCTGAAACTTCCCCTATTAACATCCCCATGTCATTACCTCACCAACACTAACCTTCCCCCCTCTCCTCCACTCTGTTCTAAAATTTGATTTGTCAATTTCACATGCGTTCATTTTTTTGGTTGTATCGCTTTGGTATATATGATTGTGCTGATTTTCTTCAACATATTGATCTGAGGAAGTGGGTCTAGCCCATGAAAGCTCATCACCTAATAAACCATCTTGTTAGTCTTTAAAGTGCTACATAGTTCTGTTTTGTGTCTCAGACTTGTTCCTGGCCGTCTCTGCAAAGTGATTGGGCATGTTCCCACCTAGGGCTGCAACTATTGGCTACTGTATTCCAGGATAAGGTCAGGGATTAAAATTGAGAGTATGGGTCTCTCTCTCCTCTACCGTCAGTCACCTGCTACTGGCACTCAAGCAGAATGGAGGAACAAACTACCCAAGGCAAATGCAGAGAAAAGAAGAATCTGCAGAGGGGAGCCAGAAATTGATTAGAACAAAGGAGTCTTGTCAGATTGGGACAATAGTTAAGGGGGTATCTGGGACCTGCTGGGCAAGAAGACTTGAACTGTGAATGGAAGGTGGAATGGAAAAAATGGCGGGGGAGGCTGATCTAACAAGGAACTGAGGTTCAGTGGGAGGACTGGGACAAGGATCCAGGGAGAAAGGAGACAAAGAGTCAGGCTGAATATGGGCTACAGAGAGGATAATCAAGCTAGCCAGTGTGGCAAATTCATTTGTATTATGACCAAGTGAGGGAAACCTGTGTGCTGTTTCCAGCTCTACCTGAAGAGGTCTTGTGCAATTGCTCAGTTATTTATAAAATGGAGGAAATGGTTGTCTGTTCCAGTGGTAGAGGATATGACTCTGTGATCAATAATAATTGTGAAGCATGTTAGAAATATTACAGCACTCATTAAAAGAGTTCAGACAAGGGCCAGGGATTTCCTGACTCCCAGCCCTGGATATCTTCCCCCAGGGTAAGGCATATTCTATAGAGGACAGTCTCTCTTTATACAATCCATGAGATTTTATTTGAGATATAAACAAGTGTGACAGAGCTGCCAAATGTGTTAGTTTGACATGAGATACACAACACTTGGCAAGTCTGATAAAAGATTGTGATATGAACAATTTAATGGCATGCATATGTGGTACCACAACTGAGAAATTCACAGCTTTAATTCTCTCCAAGTACTAATCACTATGTATGCCAGCTGGCAGCCGTTAATGGGAGCTTCATCTTACCAATTAGCCATGTCTTGTGAATGGTCTAGCTGTGTGTGTCCTCAAAGCAAACTGTGAGGGTATCTGGCCATCATCTCTACCAGGGGCCAAAAAGGAAAACAGGATGTGCCTGGAATTAGTTTGTTTTCCATTTGAAGGGAGGGGACTGATCAGAGGGTTGCGATACTGCACAGTCACCTCTAGGGGCAGTGAGCGTGGGGAATAGCTATACAGCAGAGTAACCATAACCACTGGGGGCAGCTGCACCAGGAAGGGAGAGGCCACCTGGGGACCATACTCACCATCTTGCCAGCCATCAACCCAGGTAAGTAGAACTCTGTCCCAAACCCTTCCCCCTGCCCCTTGGCCCTAGCTCCAGACTGGGGGAGGGAAGCCCTGCCAGCACCACTGCTGCCCCCCCCCAAGCACCCCTGGGACTGGGCAGTGCAGCTCAGCCCTTCCCTCAGGACCCACAGGCGGCCTCCCTCAGCACCACTGGGCCACGCTGTCAGGCCTGTGCAACAGTCACTCCCCACTCTGCCCCAGGTTGGTACCTGGGGAGCACCAGCAGGAGGCCTCTGGGGCCCTACCACCCCTGGCCCCAGGCCAGACCCAGTCAATGCTAGGTGAGTCTTCTAATGAGCCATGTGAAGAAGCTGAGACCAAACATTCGTCTTAAGAGTATTATTTTTGGTGTTCAGTACAATGTGTGACCTAAAAACCTTTGAAGCGTATTTATAGCAGTGCAGTTTGGTAAAACAGCTATATTCTCCAGTCATAAGTCAGCAGTGAGAACATAAAGAGAAGGAAAGGGAATAAGGGATTACTGTAAAACAGAGCAATGTACATGCTGCAGGCTAATATAACATATCAGTTTGTTACCATAAAACCCTTCTCAGACAGCTGCAAGGATTCTCATGTACTGTAGCTTGGAACAGGAAAAAAGGAACAGACCTGTGGTAAATCTATTGCTATCATAATCCTCTGTTTTCCCTTCCAGCTAAATGGGGGAGGAGGGCCAGACCTTGTTTGTTGTGGTGTTTAGTCACCTTTGCACTTTATCTTACCTTCAAATCTCTGGCTGGGAATCAAATTGCAGTCCTCCTCAGCCGGTTGAGCCACTGTGATTCACCTTGCATTGTTAACCAGACATTGCTAAATCCAGTGCAATGGGGAAGTTGCCTGTTTTCAGAAAAAGAGGGGAGACAGTGCTGTCTTTCCTTCTTGTTGAGGTACAAAGCATTGAAGTGATAGAACATTCTTTTTTTTTTTTTTGAGCTCTGGAAATAAAGCTTGACTTCTCAACAGTGTTCTTAGCCTGTCTGATTCACAGACTGAAACCATTACAACATATGTGCATTCCAATAGGTTAATATTTAATTCCCTCTTAAACATTAACTTTGGCTAGAACTGATTTTGGTCCTGGAGAAGGAGACTGCTGTGTTAATAGCTCTCATTATGTTTCTTTGCAAAACATGTGAACAATGTGGAGTACTGTACAAGGCAGAAAGGTAAGATGCATTGTAATCACACACATACATTACTGTTTTGCAACACACACAACTCTACCCTCCTAATCTTTTTTCCTTACTGCTTCCTCTAATAGTTGCAAACTGTTTCTGCCCTTCTTGTAATCAAAGACTTTTCCAGGTGTAACCACCAACTGTCTGGATCTCAGTCTGGTTTACCATTCTGCTGTGCACAATGATTTAGGCACATAGGCTATGTCTATACTGCACCTGTTTTGCGCAAGAAATATGCAAATGAGGCTAAGCGTGGAATATCACCAGGCCTCATATGAATAATTAATGAACTCCCTCTTTTTGCGCAAGAGGCTTTTGCGCAAGAGCCATTCTACCGCATTTTTTTTCTGGAAGAATGGCTCTTGTGCAAGAGGGGGTTTTTACACAAAAAGAAGCTGTGTAGATGGCTCCTTTTTGTGCAAAAGCCTCTTGCGCAAAAAGAGGGAGTTCATTAATTATTCATATGAGGCCTGGTGATATTCCACGCTTAGCCTCATTTGCATATTTCTTGCACAAAATGGGTGCAGTATAGACATAGTATGCCAGTGTTTTTATAATGAAGCAGAGTGCTAGATAGGGCTGATTTTAAATGAACCAGCATGTGCTGATCAGAACTTTTTGCAAGTTCTTGTGGTACAAACTCTTGACAGTCAAATATATATATAACTGTAAATACAAGGAAATTAATGTAACTCTTTTCAAGGCAAGATGGGATAGGGTGGATTTTCAAACATAGCTTTGGTACAGAATGCATTCATTACAAATATTTCCCAATCTAATTCATTGTGATATGAATCTTGTTCTGCATATTCATCCATCAAGTGAGGAGGCCAAGCAACCTGTAGAAATAATAAGCCTGTCCCTATATATGGAATATAATTTTCGAGTTCAGAAGAAGTCCTTTTCTGTATGTCCACCACTGTACAGAGAATAAATGCTCAGTCAAAATGCTATTTTCTTCGAACTTTAGTTATCCCATTTCAATGTCTGTCATATCTATTTTATTGTTATTTGTCACTCTTCTCCTAGGCATTCTACAAACCTTGAGAAGATGAGCTATGCATCCGTAAAAGCTTATATTCTAAATATTGTTACATCTCAGCAGTGACACGGGGCCCGATCCTCAACTGGCATGAATTGATTAGCTCCACTGAAGTTAATGGGACTAAGCCACGCCAGCTAAAAATCTGGTTCATGATGACCAGCATACCATTTGTGGTCCCACATGGTAAAGTCTGGGTGCCCAAAGAATTAGGCTGATTCTGTTTTCCTTTCTAATGTGACTTTCTGTGCCCAATGAAGGCCAAACCATTTTCTCAGACACCTTTGTAGAACAAAGAGAACCGTGAATTTCTGAATCATATTTTCATTATTATAGCACTAAAAATCATTGCCCTAAATTGTGAGAGGATTTGAGGTTCCTTCCAGTTCTCATTGTGTTTTGAGAGTTGGTGCACTGTGAACCACAGGACTAAAAATCACTTAGGTTGATGCATCACCATGGACTCCTAAGTTCCAAGGGAAACAGTACTAGGTTTACAATAGCACCAATGACATGATGCTCACACTGGGAAGGAACCCATTACAAACCTGCCTAACCGTTCACACAGCTGGGTCTGGCCCCTTCCCTGGGACAGTCCAGTGCCCAGGTCCTGCTCGTCTGTAGGGGGCTTGCTTGCCCAGCAGCCAGGCTCCTCCTCGTGGGCTGGGCAGGGCTGCTGGCCATAGTGCAGGGGTGGACTGAACAGACTCACCACCTGCAGCGTCCATCCACCTCCTCAGGGTCGAACCGCCTGGAACTACTGCAGATCCAGGCCAATCTCCGCCAGTGAGGAGGGGATCGGGAGGGGACTTGGCTGGCCCCAGCCAGGCAAGTGAGTCCAGAGGGAACCCACCCTGGAAATGGCCCTGGCCACCCTGCCTGGCAGACACAATCATCTCCCAGCAGGGCCAATAAGCGCATGTTGGGTCAAAGCACAGGGTAGTGGGTCTGTGAGGGTGTAATGGGGTTGACTCACCATTGCAGCACCTCCTACTGGTCACACCAGGAATTGGCACACTCCAAGGAAGAGAGCTACCTTCTGGCTGCTCTCTTGTCGTCATGTTGCTCCACCGTCTTGCTGTGGACCCAAACTGTTTCCTGAACTGTAGCGTCCTCTTTTGGACACTGCCCGTCAGCAGTGCTGACCACGCCATTCTCTCCTCTTTCCGGGGATATCAGCAGTCCTCAGCCCTTACACCTGCCACCAAGGTTCCCTCTAAGATGCACAATAGCAAGGCCTCTCAGTTGCTTAATGAGCCCCATCTAGGGGCTCAGGACTCCAAGCACAGAGCTGCCTGGCTGGAGGAGGGGCACTTCTCCTTCAGCTCCCTACCTGCTGGGAGAGACTTGCTGCTCTGTCCTCAGCAGAGATCTGCTGCTGTAGCCAAAGAAATGCCCCTCCCCCAACCAGGAAGCTCTGTGAGTGGTTAAATGACTGATAGATTTGAGCTTTGCATGCCCATAAAGTTTGTTTCTTATAGCTACATGTCATTATCTTCAACACCATTGACTGCCATGTGTTGTAATGGCGAAATATTATATAATTCCAGCCAAGATTTAGTCCTTCATTCTCCATGCCAGTATGGGTAAGGGACTTTGTAATATGGCACTAGTCTGTTCCGTAACCAAATGCTGCAATTCGTGAAAGAAATAACACTGGAAAAGATTCAGATGACCATTGTATTGTGCTGAGGCACATTCCAAAGCAGAGTCATTCATTTAAACTGCTGTCATTCAGATGTATTATCATTCGATAAGGGAGCACAATGGGATGGAGTCAACCGAAACACAAACTAGCCATACCCAACTACACAAAGTATGTCACTTGTTGTAAGGCTTTGTAAAATTATGAGCAAAACAATGAAGCATAAGAACTCTTGAGGCCCAGCTTTGAAAGATGCATTGAGCCCTCTCCCATCCCATTGTCTGAAAACCAAGTCATTCAGGGACATCTGTTTTTAACTTTCCATTCTCTGTGAGATTGCTGGCTTGGAAATTGCATTCCATCTTTCCCAAATTGCCAGCTCCATTGATTTAATGAAAGATCTTAAAACCCAAAACACAATCCTCATCCATGCTGGAATTTCAGGCTCTAGTATAGCTGCGTTGGTGCAGAACACAATTTATTCTACTAGCTGAAATCTCAGGGTATTTCTAGACTGCATCCCTCTGTTGGCAGAGGGATGCAGATTAGGCAGGTCGACATTACAAATGAAGCAGGGATTTTAATAACGCATGCCTAATTTGCATAAAAATGGCTGCCACGTTTTGCCAACTCAGCACTTAGTCAGCAAAAAGTGGCAGTCTAAAGGGGGATCTGTTGAGGAGACTGCTGCCTCATTTGCGATGTCGACCTGCCTAATCTGCATCCCTCTGCCGACAGAGGGGTGAAGTCTAGACATACCCTTAGGCTACGTCTACACTGGCCCCTTTTCCGGAAGGGGCATGTTAATTTCAGAAGCCGTAATAGGGAAATCCGCGGGGGATTTAAATATCCCCCGCGGCATTTAAATAAAAATGTCCGCCGCTTTTTTCCAGCTTTTAAAAAAGCCGGAAAAGAGCGTCTACACTGGCCCCGATCCTCCGGAAAAAAAGCCCTTTTCCGGAGGATCTTATTTCTATGTAGCCTTAGTGTTGACAATAAGAACATAAGAACGGCCATACTAGGTCAGACCAGCGGTCCATCCAGCCCAGTATCCTGTCTGCTGACAGTGGCCAATACCAGATGCCCCAGAGGGAGGGAACACAACAGATAATCCTCACATGAGCCTAATTCGAATTAATTAGAGAGCCTAATTCGCACTACCTACTCCGTGCCGTGTGTAGCTGCGGACACGGAGTCCGTACTAATGGGGATTTAAACATGGCAGCGCCCGGCAAGATGCAAATGAAGCCTGGGATATTTAAATCCCGGGCTTCATTTGCAACTTCGAATGCCTACATTAGCCACCCTAGTTCGAACTAGGGTGGCAGTGTAGACATACCCAGAGTTAAACCATGCTTCTGTTAGCAGTTTCAGAGCAAGCAAACAAAGTATTAAATAGCATTGCCCATTCTTTTTTCTACATTTTCTTATCACTTTGACATCAATTTATTATTAATGAAATACTTTTTCCTGGCACTTCCTATAAAAAAGAAGAGAGAGGGGAGCTGGGCTGTGTTACGAAAGAGTACTGTGGAATGCTGAAATGGGGAAGCAAATTACCTGTTAAATTAGCGTATATAACCTGCACCCATGCATAACCCACGGTTTTTCCTAAATGAGTAAAAAAAAGTCTAAGATAACTCACTCACGTGTATAGCCCGTGGGTTATATACGCTACTTTAAGGTACCTGGTAATTGCTGGTTGGCCTGCAGGAGGGGAGCCGCACTCGCATCCAGGCTTCACGCAGCCGTAGCCAGGCGCAACCCACCCTCCTCTGGGAGGGGGGAACAGAGAGTGCAGGCGAGCTGGCCAGCCTTCAGGAGGGGAGCTGCACTCGTGCCCAGGCAAGTAAAAATAAACTTGTATACCCCGCGGACATGTATACCCCGTGGGGGTGGGGTGGTTGTGGGGTTTGTAAAACTTTGTATAATCTGTGAATTATATGCACTAAAACACGGTGGCTACGTCTACACTGGCATGATTTTCTGGAAATGCTTAAAACGGAACAGTTTTCCGTTATAAGTATTTCCGGAAAAAGAGCGTCTACATTGGCAGGATGCTTTTCCGGAAAAGCCCTTTTTCCGGAAAAGCATCTGTCGGTGGTTGTGGGGTTTGTAAAACTTTGTATAATCTGTGAATTATATGCACTAAAACACGGTGGCTACGTCTACACTGGCATGATTTTCTGGAAATGCTTAAAACGGAACAGTTTTCCGTTATAAGTATTTCCGGAAAAAGAGCGTCTACATTGGCAGGATGCTTTTCCGGAAAAGCCCTTTTTCCGGAAAAGCATCTGTC